TGTAAACACTAGAGTTAGTTGTACTGACGAACATAGTACGGTTCTTACAGCGCCGTATTAAGGTCCTGTAGAAGTTTCACAGCCACTCTCGCCTCGACTAACGACTTACTTACCATGCGTACTTTAAAAAAAAAAAAAATTCCAGGCAAACATATACAGCTAATCCAGTCAAGTTTTCGTCTTTTTTAGGACGAAATTTTTTGTTATTTGAAGCCCCACCCTGGCTTTTGCCAGAGGCCGCAATAAAGGCAGGCCATAAATATGGTCAATTGTCTGAACGCGGTTTCTGGGACCTCTCCACGACTATCCGCATCCACATGGTGGCACTTTGTGTCATCGGGTGTTTATCGCTTGTGTGATGTCCTTGTGGGGTAGAAAGTCAGTCAGTCAGTCCGGGCAAATTTTACGTTCAGTAGTTTGCATTGCACTGAACGGTCAGCTCTCGGTACCACTGTCGAAACCAACGCAAGACAAATCGACTGTAGCTGGGATCGAATTCGGCATCCAGGAATTACGAAGAGAGTTCGCAACGCCCAAGCCACAGACGCCCACATGCGTACTTACGAACTCAATTGATAAATAAATCTATGAAAATAGCAAATCAAGAAACCTGACTCAATTGGTGGAGTCAAAAAGTTCCCCGAACCGAGTACAGATTTATGTATTTGTACACATTATCTGCAACAATTATACTTACATAGACCAAAATTTTGTGTATTGTGTACAAAAGAAGAAGATGAGAAATATTTACATCTTAAAAAATCTGAACATCAAGGAAAATTGGCTAATAAACAGCATCCTTTCTCGAGAGCTGAAATATTTTGGTCATATCAAGCGCCACGACGGATTGGAAAAAAAATTATAGCAGAAGGCATGGTACCAGGAAGGAGGGGCAGGGGCTGACCAACACGAAGATGGACACAAGATTTAACTCTTTGTGTCCCAGAGGGTTTAGCATCACAGGCCCAAGGAGTAGTCAAAGGAAATGTAAAATCGGCGCATCATGCGTACATCGGGCTTCTAGGAAGTAACTTAAGAACGTATGATGCGTACCTGGTACCCACTCAAGGTTGGATCGACCTGAGAGCCGGCTACGTCAGGACGCGAGCAGCTTTTTTTCTGGCGCTTACAAAAAAAAAAAAAACATTTCGGAGGATATTTTTTTTTTAGCGCTACTGTAGTAAATACACTTTGCAATGAATACCGTCACCACTTTTAGACTCTTTGTAGTGAGTACCGGCACCTGTTTTTCTAGGGTTTAAAACAGTTCTAGCTACAACAGTCACCTTTCTGTAATGTGTAAACTTACCCCGGATACAAACCGTAAACAATGTGAGAAATATTCCCTTAAAGTTTGTCTCGTTGTTTGCTGCTAGTCGATCAACTCAAATCCAAGTGATTATTCTGTCAAATTCGCCTATTGTACATCACAACGCTGTCTAGGTTCTTCAACCCAACATTTCACTCACAAATATTTTTACGTTCTGCGATAAGCAAACTGTATATACAGGAATCGAAACTTCCAACGCTTACCTAAGATATTCAAAACTGACAAGCCGAGGGATGTAGCCTGGTTTACCCAACCGAGGGGTCTCGGGTCTGAGAGCGTGCTTACGCTGCGTATCAAATGGGACGAAACATAATGAATGAGATCATTTCTGGAGAAAGCATCGGGTGAACGGAGGGTGTGAGAAAACTGCTTTTTTACCTGTCGGACAAACAGTCGTGAAACTGTTCCTTGTGTGTGTGTGTGTGTGTGTGTGTGTGTGTGTGTGTGTGTGGGTGTGTGGGTGTGTGTATGTGGGTGAGTGAGTGAGTGTGTAAAAGAAGGTGAGGGTTGGGGTGGGGGGGGGGAAGGGGAGGGTTGTGAAACGGGATATTACAAGGAAGCAGCCGTGAGGTTAGCTATAGGAAGCAGGTATATGACTCATATGTAAGATGAGTTGATACTCTTACAATCAGAGGTCTTATGATGTGTGTATGTATATGGTGTGTAGTGCGTGTGCGCGTGTGTGTGGTGTGTAGTTTTTGTGTAAGTGAAATTTTTTTTTAACCAGTTATCGCCCAATGTCTACTCTTTCTAACCACAACCGATCACATAAGTAAATCAAGAAACTTTGGCAACGGAAGAAGAAGAAGAAGAAGAAGAAGAAGAAGAAGAAGAAGAAGAAGAAGAAGAAGAAGAAGAAGAAGAAGAAGAAGAAGAAGAAGAAGAAGAAGAGGAAGAGGAAGAAGAAGATGAAGAAGAAGAAGAAGGAGAAGAAGAAGAAGAAGGAAAAAGAAAAAGAAGAAGACGAAGAAGAAGAAGAAAACGAGAAAGAAGAAGGTGATGATGCTGATGATGATGATGATGAAAAGCAATAATAATGCGTTTTAATCAGAACAGACATTGTGCCAAGTAAATATGTCTTGGAAGAAAACTATTTAAGGCACTTGACTTTACAAACACCCTATATTTTCGCAGTTACAATGGAAAGCGCAGGGATATTTGTCTATCAGCAGATTAGTTATACTAGGTTTTTTTAGACTTGTAAAATGAGTCATTCATTCCAGTGTCATTCTTTATAACAGTCAGCTTTTTTTTTTTTTTTTACTTCACCTCGGTTAGGCATGACAACAATAGAAAAATAACAAAAACTGAGATTCAAGAACAGCAAAGACACTTCAATGCGAACAGAAATCTGTGTCAGTGTTTGCAAGAATGTATGTTTGTGTGTGAATAGACGTTCAATTTGAGAGTTACTTAGAGATGTAATCTTTACGCACAGACTGAATGCCCATAATTTACCCTGCCTAGTTTGTTTCGCTTTTGTGTTCGCGGCCTTATTGTGGTTAACAATAATGTATTTTCTAGTGTCAGGCCTGATGAATATACGTGTCAAAGGTGACAACAGCCACTTCCGGTTTGCAGACAACTGCATCCCCTCTCCCATACACACATACAAAGAGATGCAGCGCATACATACCTCTACACAGGGACTTTTATTCTAGAAAAAAAAAAAGGTGCCGGTATTCACCACAAGTTGTCCAATAAAAGGTGCCGGTGAGCAACAAAAAGTGTCTATTACTGTAGTGCTAAACAAACAAACAAACAAACAAACAAAACTCCTAAAAAAATGGTGCCAGTGCTGAGTTCCGTTGCGAACCGCCAGAAAAAAAAAATTGCCCTGCCCCCACCCATATCAGCGTGTACACATCAAAGGTGGCGACAGGAAAAAAGTCACTGGGGAAGGGAGGCTCATATCAATATCTGAACATCATGGGTGGCGACAGGAAAGAAGATACTGAGGAAGGGAGGATCATATCAATATCTAAACATCAGGGGTGGCGACAGGAAAGAAGACACTGAGGAAGGGAGGATCATATCAATATCTGAACATCATGGGTGGCGACAGGAAAAAAGACACTGAGGAAGGAAGGCTTATATAAATATTTGAACTTCAGGAGTGGCGATAGGAAAGAAGACATTGGGAAAGGGAGGCTTCGTTGCCTCACAAATTCGGGAAGGGGGAGGGGGATAATTGTGACTCCTTACAAACTGTCTAGGAGAGGGGATCAAGAGGTCTAAGCATTGTTTAAGTGCTTAATAATAATTCTGACTATCAATAGTAATATGGAAAAAAGAAGGGGAAAAATGCAGGGGGATTTTTAGTTGGGATTCTCAGAATACTATGTCAAAAAAGAAAAGAAAAACAAATACTGACATCCTACAAGATCTGAACATCTAGGACAATTGGCTTGCAAGCAGCATCTCATCTCGAAAACTTGGATATTTTGGTCATATCAAGCGCCGCGGCAAACTAGAAGAAATAATAGCAGAAGGCATGGTGCCAGGAAAGAGGGACAGGGACCGACCAGCTCGAAGATGGGCTACTGATATAAATGAGACCTTTCGTAGGAAAGTGCAGGAGAGCTATTGAGAAACTTTGAGTTTCTTTCCGTCAGACGTTCTGCAAAAGACCTGCTATATGATGATGATTATATCAGGTGAGGTACCTTTGAGTGGCCGCTGCATCGTAGGACTGCGCATGCATGCCCAATGTGTAGTGACGTGGTTTGTAATAACATAACATAATATTCACGTGTATAGACAACAGGCTGTCAAAAACGCTGCACAGAGTACGAGCTCCAGCAACGACCTCATTGCACCCGTAAAAACACACTGAGCTCTGATACTATAACAGCACTTGATCCCACAACACCGAACTCTCTCCCGCACATCTACAAACAAACAAGGTGTGGGAATAAAAAGCACCCATCATAGACAGGAGTTCTGAGTACAGTCACTAGCTGTGATCTTTTACTGGGTGTTTGTAAAGTCTCACTACAGTTAGTGCGTAGAATAAATATTCTTAAAAAAAGAAGTACATGACGTCATCAACAATTGTGCTCCACAGTCAGTCGTGAAGGGATGGCTGTCGCCTGCTGGAGTAAATCTGTGCACTCAAAACAGAATGGTGTTAGGAACGAAAGAAATATGGGGTGAGCATATGTTTCAAAATATCGGTCGATACACATGGACGGTTGTAGAAGGTATTTGACAATATGAAGAGACGTGTTCAGTCATGTCTTAAAACTCGTGGTAGACATTTTCAAAACCTGTTGTAATGAAGATTTCAATGATACTTTCCTCTCTTCCCCAAAACAGCGTTAGAGCATAGCAGTAATTATTATAATTAATACAATGATTTTTTGATGACGTTATGTACTTGGTTCTTCAAATTTTATTCTGCATACAAAGTGAACTGTCAATTTATAAACACCCTGTATTTTCGCAGTCACAATGGAAAGGGCGGGAATATTTGTCTATAAGCAGACTAGTTGTTAGAACAGGTTTTATTAGTCTTGTAAAATGAGTCATTCATTACAGTGTCATTACAGGCTCAAGTAACTTGGAGTCTCTCTCTCTCTCTCTCTCTCTCTCTCTCTCTCTCTCTCTCTCTCTCTCTCTCTCTCTCTCTCTCTCTGTGTGTGTATTTGTATATATCTGTTTGCTTTTCCTAATATGGTGATATGTCAGGGAATCCATGCATCCATCCATACATCCATCGTCCGTCCTTTCGTCCATCTGTCTGTCTGTCTGCCTGTCTTTGTTTTCTCTCCCCCATCTCCCCCTCCCCCACTTTCCAAACTCTTTTCTGCGCTCTGGTGTGTGGCTGCGTATCCGCCTTTTTGATGATGATGTACACATACAGCAATAAAATGGATCGAGTGTGTACAGAAGTAATCGAAGGCTTACTCATGAGATCGATTGTCTGCAGCTGTCGGTTCGCATACCCGTGATGTCAAGTGATTTATTTCCCCTGATTTGCTTATGAGATCCATAAAAGCCAAGCGACAGATTTGTAAAAATGTTTCAAAAACAAGTAATATTAGCTGAAGTATTAGTAGCAGAAAGGCAGCAGTTTAGTAGTAGTAGTTGTTGTTGCTGTCGTAGTAGTAGTAGTAGTAGTAGTAGTAGTAGTAGTAGTAGTAGTAGTAGTAGTAGTAGTAGTTGTAGTAGTAGTAGTAGTAGTTGTAGTAGTAGTAGTAGTAGTAGTAGTAGTAGTAGTAGAAGTAGTAGTAGTAGTAGTAGTAGTAGTAGTAGTAGTAGTAGTAGTAGTAGTAGTAGTTGTAGTAGTTGTAGTAGTAGTAGTAGTAGTAGTAGTAGTAGTAGTAGTAGTAGTAGTAGTAGTATTAGTAGTAGTTGTTGTTGCTGTCGTAGTAGTAGTAGTAGTAGTAGTAGTAGTAGTAGTAGTAGTAGTAGTAGTAGTAGTAGTAGTAGTAGTTGTTGTAGTAGTAGTAGTAGTAGTAGTAGTAGTAGTAGTAGTAGTAGTTGTAGTAGTTGTAGTAGTAGTAGTAGTAGTAGTAGTAGTAGTAGTAGTAGTAGTAGTAGTAGTAGTAGTTGTTGTCGTTGTCGTAGTAGTAGTAGTAGTAGTAGTAGTAGTAGTAGTAGTAGTAGTAGTAGTAGTAGTAGTAGTAGTAGTAGTTGTAGTAGTTGTAGTAGTAGTAGTAGTAGTAGTAGTAGTAGTAGTAGTAGTAGTAGTAGTAGTAGTAGTAGTAGTAGTTGTTGTCGTTGTCGTAGTAGTAGTAGTTGTTATTGTTGTTGATATAGTAGTAGTAGGAGTAGTAGTAATAGTAGTTGTTGTTGTTGCTATAGTAGTAGTTGTAGTAGTAGTAGTAGTTGTTGTTGCTGTAGCAGTAGTAGTAGTAGTTGTTGTAGTAGTAGTTGTAGTTGTTGTTGCTGTAGTAGTAGTAGTTGTTGTATTAGTAGTAGTTTTTGTTGTTGTTGTTGCTGTAGTAGTCGCAGTAGTAGTATTTGTTGTTGTAGTAGTAGTTGTTGTTATTGTTGTTGCTGTTGTTGCTGTTGTTGCTGTAGTAGTAGTATTAGTAGTTGTTGTTGTTGCTGTAGCAGTAATATTAGTAGTAGTATTAGTAGTAGTAGTTGTTGTTGCTGCAGTAGTAGTATTAGTAGTTGTTGTTGTTGTAGTAGTAGTAGTAGTAGTAGTAGTAGTTGTTGTTGTTTTTGTTGTTGTTGTTGCTGTAGTAGTAGTTGTTGTTGTAGCAGTAGCAGTAGTAGTTGTTGTTGTTGTTGCTGTAGTAGTAGCATTGATTGTAGTAGCAGTAGTAGTTGTTGTTGTATTAGTAGTAGTTGTTGTTGTTGCTGTAGTAGTAGTATTAGTAGTTGTTGTTGCTGTAGTAGTAGAAATAGTATTAGTAGTAGTTGTGGTTGTTGTTGTACAGCAGCATTTGCAACATTATTATTATTATTATTATTATTTAGTAGTAACAATTACTGGCATATCAAACAGAGACCATATCACAATTGACTAGGCTGACCGTAAAATTACCGATCACATTAACAAATATGAATCTCTTTTAACTGCAGTGAAAAGACGGAAAATGCATTGATATGGACATGTAATAAGTAACGGATCTCAAAAGCAATACTGCAGGGCTCAGTAGAGGGGAGGAGGAAAGAGGCAACGTGCAATTACGTTTGACGGGGAAAGCAACTCGCATTGTAAAGCCTACTAAACGTAATTCCACCAGTGAAAGACCCAAACTGATTTTGACGTTTCATCCTAACATTTTGGTTACTTCCAAATTATTATTTTGCCATTTGGACATCCTCCGCTCTGATTCTGACACCGAGATGATCTTTAGTGAGAAGCCAATAGTAGTTTAAAAACGAGGCTGCAACCTTAAAGACATACTTATCAGCAGCTGACTTCCGCTGATCCACACAGCACTTCCTTTTGGAACTAATGAATGCTCCTGCACCATGTGCAAGACATGTCCTTTCGTTATTCAGACCTCATTGGTCAGTTTCTCCAGTGGTTATTTCCAAATTAGAGAACCCGTTACTTGTGAATCTCTTAACGTAATTTAAGCTATAACAAAACATACATTGGGGAAAATGGCAGGAAGCTAGCTCATCGGTTCCGGGAACATCTCCCAGATATTGACAAGAAGACACTAAAACCAATCTCTTTCAATTTTAACAGCTCTGACCACAGAGGTAAAAGTGATATATCTGTCACAGCATTAAAATTTTACTCTGGAGATCATACCACACACCTTGCTTCGGAAAAATCACCTCATCCACAGCCTAGGTGTTCTGAGTCAAGGAGGCATCAATGTCCTCTAAAAAGTTTTACTGTTGTCACTTTATTATAACTTTTTTTTAGCCTTCCTTTATTTTATTTCATTCCAAATCACCCCTTTTTTAAAAGTCTCTCACGTGATCCCTTAGAGGCTGGAGTACTCTCCTCTTTGTTACTGTTGTATAGTTCAATACATGTCGAGAAAGGCTCCCGCCCGAAACGTCGATTTGTATTTCTTTGTGTATGTTTTTCACCTTCCCCCATTTCGTTAAGCTTGTTAGTCACAGTTCACTTGATTAATTTTTGTGTACACATGACATTTGAAAGCTTTATTTTTCAATGTGTTTTTATCTCCTTTAGTCCTTCTCTTTATCTCTTTGGCTGCAATAATTTTTGCATCTTATTGAAGATAGTTTCATCCATTCCTATTTATTTTGGGGTATATGTTTGAGTTTTGCTATCATCTTTTATTACGTGTCCAAGTTAAAGACGGGATTGTGTTTCTTTTTTACTGTTATTAACATTTAGAGTTAACAAAGTTAGGTTAGTTGCGTATGCTTTACAGGACGTTGCAGAACTAACCCCAGCTGCCCCTGGCTGTTGTGTGTTTTCTCTAGGCAAATTTACGTCCTGTAGTTTGCCATTGCCGCTGGACGGTCGGCCACTTGATACCACTGTCGAAACCAATGCAAGGCGCATGGCCCGCAGCTGGGATCGAACCCGGCATTACGAAGCGTTCGCATCGACTTAGCCACAGATTAGAGTTAACACTGAACTGAATAAATAATTCAAACACATTAAAACAAATCCGTAAAAGGAAACACCAGATAAAAACCCAATGATCAAATAAACCGGGAGAATTACTTACTTGAATCCTGTTGTGTTGTGATCAAGAATACAGTGGTGTACTGAACCAGCAATATATTAGTCGAGGGAAAGAGGCACAATCGTGGGTTTCTGATAACAACCGGCGCTTACCGTAAATGTGCGGTGAAATAAAGGAATAGAGTTCGCTTGACGTCGCCGTATAGGTAAAGCGACAGTTTCTGCCATTCAAGGCGTCTCACTCGTACGTTCCAACATACAGTAAAGTATAGGACCTTAACGTACCTTAATGTGGTGATACTCATAATTTATCTATCTACAACAGCATGATTATTCGGGTTGAGACAGACGCTTATTGTCATGTCTGATGAGCGATAAAGGTGGTCTTTAACTCAGTAATGAACAATATTTATCTTTGGTTTTCCAGTGGAGGGACACGACGATAAGGAAGAAGAAGAAGAAGAAGAAGAAGAAGAAGAAGAAGAAGAAGAAGAAGAAGAAGAAGAAGAAGAAGAAGAAGAAGAAGAAGAAGAAGAAGAAGAAGAAGAAGAAGAAGAAGAAGAAGAAGAAAAAGAATAATAATAAGAAGAAAGCAAAGAAGAAAGCAAAGAATAATAATATAAGAAGAAGAAGAATAAGAAGAAGAAGAAGAATAAGAAGAAGAAGAAGAAGAAGAAGAAGAAAAAGAAGAAGAAGTAGAAAAAGAAGAAGAAGAAGAAGTAGAAAAAGAAGAAGAAGAAGAAGAAGAAAAAGAAGAAGAAGAAGAAGAAGAAGAAGAAAAAGAAGAAGAAGAAGTAGAAGAAGAGAAGAAGAAGAAGAAGAAGAAGAGAGAAGAAGAAGAAAAGAAGAAGAAGAAGAAGAAAAAGAAGAAGAAGAAGAAGAAGAAGAAGAAGAAGAAGAAGAAGAAGAAGAAGAAGAAGAAGAAGAAGAAGAAGAAGAAGAAAAAGAAGAAGAAAAAGAAGAAGAAGAAGAAGAAGAAGAAGAAGAAGAAGAAGAAAAAGAAGAACGAACGAACGAACGAACGAACGAACAAACTTTATTTTCAAAGGGTTACAAATTGGGCACGCAGGCCCGTCTGACATTCGGCCCTTCTAAACACTCGTTTCCTGGAGTACCAATGCCTGTTATTTAAAATGCATGTTATAGATATAGAATAAAAATATACATTATAGAATATAATACATACATCATGTGTACACAATCTTACACACTCACAGACATATATATATATATAAGAAGAAGAAGAAGAAGAAGAAGAAGAAGAAGAAGAAGAAGAAGAAGAAGAAGAAGAAGAAGAAGGAGAAGAAGAAGAAGAAGAAGAAGAAGAAGAAGAAGAAGAAAAAGAAGAAAGCAAAGAAAAAGAAGAGGAAGAAGAGAAAGAAGAAGAGGAAGAAGAAGAGGAAGAAGAAGAAGAAGAAGAAGAAGAAGAAGAAGAAGAAGAAGAAGAAGAAGAAGAAGAAGAAGAAGAAGAAGAAGAAGAAGAAGAAGAAGAAGAAGAAGAAGAAGAAGAAGAAAAAGAAGAAGAAGAAGAAGAAAAAGAAGAAAAAGAAGAAAAAGAAGAAAAAGAAGAAAAAGAAAAAGAAGAAGAAGACGACGACGACGAGGAAAAAACAAACGAACGAAAGAACAAAGGAACGAATAATTGAATAAACCAAACAACCAAAAATTTAGACATACAGTTCTTTGTTGTTCGAATTAGTGCTCCTTTCTTTGCCACATCTGAAACATCGACTTACTTGTTCTATTCATAACATAGGCAAGACACCCCACAACTCGCTTCTAGGATAAACACAGGTGACATCCATTAAAAACATTCGAAACTGACGTGAAATCTGCTTTATTCAACAATA